CCGCCAGGCGCTGGGCACCCGCTGTGCGGCAGGTGCACGGGGGCCCCTGGGGACCGAGAAATCACAGTCACTGGACAGACGAACACCTTAGCCAGCTTCACGTTCTACAAACAACTGCACTGCACGGGGGTCCTCTCGGGGAGCGGAGAGTCCAGGAAGAAAAGGACGTGGGGGCCTGAGGGGTGTTTCGGACGGGGAGTCGGGGCCGGTCTCTCTGAGGTCACAGCGGCCACCGGGAGATCATCATTCCAGGCGCAGGGCCCGTGGGCACGGACGTCCTGCAGCGGGAGCCAGGCCCCTGCACTGGAGGGACAGACAGGAGGACGGGGAGGGGTGGGAGGGAGCCGAGGACGGGGCCACGGTGCCCGCTGGGCCAGGAGTCTGGCTGTGGTTTCGGGAGCTCCCTCTTAGCCTGGGAGGGCTCCCTGGGAGGGGACGTCCCAGGGGCCACGCTCCACGGCCCCCCAGTTCTGCAGGAAGTGCAGGGAGATTTGGGGGCAGCAGGTGAGGGCGCTTGGCGTTCACGGCCGCTGCTCCGAGGCCCGCGCCGCTGAGCATCCTGCCGGGCCCTGAGCTTTATTGATTCCCCAGGAAACAGACCACAATTATTTCTGAAAATGGATGGCATATTTGTCTACCCTCTGGAGCAGCTCAGACTCCGATAGATAAAGCGTCAGGAGAAAAATCAAAGAAAATGGAGGTGTCCATAGCGCGGATAGATTTTTCTTTCCTGTTGGCAATGTCCAAGCAACTCGCAGAAAAGCAGGAAGAAGCAGGACGGAGGAGCGAGGGGAGCCCGAGGTAGGCGCTCACCAAAAGGGGCAGCGAGAGCCGCAATTGGCCCCGCGGCCCGTGCCCGTTTGCTTAAGAGCCGTCAATCCTTGTTCTCAGGAGACCCAGCCTCCCGCCGCTGTCCCCCACCTGGCCCACCCAGGTTCAGGCTGGAGCCCCAGCGGGCGACGCCAGGGGAGCGGCGACGTCCCCTTTCATACATAACTGAGTTTGACCCCAAAAGCTGTCGCTCTCTCCTGCCCCATGGTCCCCGGGGGACCGAGGCCACCAGGTTAGGCACAGCCACTGGTGAACCCGTCCCAGGGCCCACGTCCACATCTAATGAAGGACAGGGTCCCAGGACACGGGGCCAGGTCTCCCCTCCTGTGACAGCCCCGTGGTGGGCGCCTGGGGGGCTGTCCCCATGTCCTGGCAGCCCGAGGACCCCCACACCCACCAGCACAGCCTCGGGGGACCCAGCTCCCCCTGGGAGCAAAGTGCACCTCCAGAGCCCCGCCATCCTGCACCCGGAAGGCCGCCGGTCAGACGAGGTTCGGATGGGCCTCGATGCAGCAGGAGGAGGCCGCCAGCCAAGTGTGCAGGTCACCCCGGGCCTGGACAGCGACCTGGGGGTCGCTTGGGAGGGGGAGGGAGAGCGAAGTCCGGGCCCAGGGCCTCGGGGTCAGTTCCACGCACACAGCAGGGTAACTCCCGCAGCGGGGACCCGGGACGGGGCGGCCCCCCCCGAGCGCTCACCTGTGTGTATCCTCAGGTGCACCTTCAGGTGGTGCGACGTGCGGAAGGTCTTCCCGCAGTACGGACAGTCCTTCATGGCCGAGCCCAGGCTC